GCATTTGCTGTCCCTGGACCGGATCATCTCCGGAGGTCTCAGGCTCCAATACCTGTGATTGTACTGTTTCACAAATTCTAAGTGAAGTTGTTTGGGTGATGGAAAGCTCAGGCAACAGAGCAGTCCCTCTGATTGGCCCCCGGAGACAGGAATTAGGTCTTCATCAATGCGCCCTCTCTCTCACCAACAGGAGAAGGAATGAACCAGGCAGCAACCATCTGCAGGTCCAACTTCAAGGTGAGCACTGACACTGTTGGGCTGCTTCTTGGTAGCAGAGGAGCTGAGACTGGGCCTAGAGAGGAGGGTGGAGGGGAGACTCCTGGGCAGCTCTGCGGGGACCACAAGTCTCTTCTATGGGGGACCTGAGAGGCAGCTGGGGAGCTGGAGGGCAGGATGGGGGTGAGGCAAGGGGCGGGGAGCAGGGCCCTGTGTGCACTGTGTCCCCGCTTGCTCCCTGTGTCCCCAGCACATGTACTGGACCATGCTGCAGCAGCTCACCCACCATTCTGTCAATGGCTGCAACCTGCGGCCAGGCGACCTTCTGGCTTCAGGAACGATCAGCGGGCCGGTGAGTCCCGGCTGCAGGAGGGCTGCCTCATGCAGAGAGCCCTGGTCCCCACCCAGCCCAGGGTCCTTGGTCCCCAGCTGATGGGGCATCAGCTTCTCCTCCACGCTTGCACAGAGGCTGTGTGAGAACGGGACTCTGGGTCTCTGTCCCCAAAGGGCCTGGCAGCACTTGTGGTGTCTTGGTTGTCCCCATGTCACACTGCCCCTCCCAGGATGGGGTGGCCTGTCCGCTGTGGCCCTTCTCAGCGTCCCTGTGCCCTAAGAGCATGGGATCAGGCACAGAACTTTCAGAGATGATACCATGGGGTGTGCATGTTGGTCCCTCCCAGCTGGGTTGTGGCCACACTCCACGGTGGTGGCAGGGAGGGCACCGGGGACTCGGTATCCTGGACATCGAGGCCCTTGTAGCAGGGAGGAAGGGGCAGCGTCCAAGCCTCTGAGGCAGCAGGGCTGCCAGATCTCCCTGAGCACTGTCCAGCAGGGGCAGACCCCACACCTCGGTGTCACATGAGTGATCCTTTTCCCTTTTGTGTTACAAAGGAGCCAGAAAGCTTTGGCTGCATGCTGGAGCTGTCCTGGAAGGGGACGAAAGCCATAGAGCTGGGGCAGGGACAGACCAGGATGTTTCTGCAGGATGGGGACGAGGTCATCATCACAGGTGAGGGTACCGCAGCTTGTCCTGTCCTTGCCTGTGGCGCTGGCCTACTCTGGTAAACTCGGGTCCTGCGTCTGCGAAGACTATGTGTGCGTCTGCACAGACCGGAAAGGCCAGCAGCCTCTGCTCCATCCCTGTTCTGTGCAGAGCCAGCCCTGCACCTGGGCTCGGGGAGCCATCCTGAGAGGTGGGGGTGCCTCGGACCTCTGGGGACCTCCTGCCCCTCTTCATGTTACTGACAGCAGGAAGGGCAACTCCAGGTTGACGTCAACAGTGCTTGTGAGGTTTCTTCAAGCCAGTCAAGTCCTTCAGTGACAGGGAACACCTTCTCGGGCCCTGTCCTGGGTCCCAGTAATGAGACAGTGCACGTCTGCTCCTTGGGGTGCAGCCTCCAGCCAGGTCCTGCAGCCAGGAGATGAGGAGCCCAGCCTCCCCTCAGACAGCTGGTCTAAGAACGCAGTTCTTCTGCCTTCAGCAGTGTCACATCGTAAGCTTCAAGCACAGCTGTGTTCTGGTCGAAGCCCTCATCATCACCACCATGGCTGCGGGACCTGGCTTCCGAGGGACCTGGCATTGGGCTCCGTCTGTCCCTGAGAGCCTGTGGGCTCCTCCCACCTTTGCCTGAGCAGTGGGCTGTCACTAGACTGTCTCACAGACGAGGAGGCGAAGGTCTGGGGTCCCCGGGTCCAGCCCAGTAGGTGGATGTCAGATCTGAACCCAGACTCCTGGCCAGAGGGACCCAGCCAGGAGGGCCTGAACCTCCCAGTGCCCCGTGTGCCCCCATGTGCCTCTTCCTGGAGCATCCTCTGTAGCATGAGTCTCATGTGGCAGCATGGCTGACCCCATCCTCCTCTGTTCCAGGGCACTGCCAGGGAGACGGCTACCGTGTGGGCTTTGGCCAGTGCACTGGGAAGGTGCTGCCCGCCCTCTCACCCGCCTGAGGACCTGCAGGGGATGGGCCTCCCGCTGTGGCTGCCGGCTCTTTCCCTGGGGTGAATAAAACCACTGTGCTGTGTCTCCATGCTCTGAGGCTCCCCTAGGCTGGCAGGGTGGGTATGCTGCTTCCCTAACTAGGGACGGAGTGGGGGGGTGCGTGTGCGTGTGCATGTAGATACTTATTTGAACATATTGGCTCATGTGATTCTGGGGCCCAGGGTGCCTGCCAGCCTTGAGACTGGTTAGAGTTGCATATAAGTTGAAGACATTTGCAGACAACATCCATCTTCCCTGGGAAGTCTCTTGACACCCTCACCTGATTAGACCAGGCCTGCCTACCTCCTGGAACATTGTGTTTCACCCACAATTACTGATTTCAGCTTTGTTGATGTCATCTTCCACAGAAGCCTCTAAAATATTGTCTTGCCTCATCTGGGTACCTTGACCAGGGCGTCACCATGCTGGACCCTCAGCCCCAGCTGGCCCTCCCTGTCAGGTCTACCTGCAGGCCCAGGCCCAGGCTACGCTTGGTGACTGTCCTGAGCCTGAGGTGCCCACTCCAGCACCTGGGAAGGTGAGGGGCACAGGTGTGGCCCTTAGTCTATGCCAGGCTGTGCCAGAGCCCCCAGCCTGTCCTTATGGGGCATGTGCTCTTGTGGGGAAGATGAGGGAAAGCTAGGTGGTGACATGTTCCCTAGTACTCCAGATGTGTGTGCTGTTGTTGTGGAGGGGCCAGAGAGCTCAGGAGCAGGGAGCAGGCTGGATGGGTGCCAGGGGCAGAGAGAGCAGCGAGTAAAAACCCCGAGGAAGAGAATGCACATCATCTAGCATTTCTTTCTCATCTAACAGCAGTCTGGGCCTGCTTGTACAGCAGCTCCACGGAGCCATCAAGGGTATTTCCTCTGCTCTGCTGTCCTCAGCATGGGCTCTTTAGCCTCAGAGTCACCTCCTGGTGAAAAATGGCTGCTGGAACTCCAGCCAGCACACCCACATTCCAGGCCAGCCGAAAGAAAACAAAATGGTGATCTGAATTAAAAATTCTGAGCTGGGCCCAGCAGTTGTTAGAATAAGCTGTCTGATACATGTGAAGTTTGAGGACACTATTAGAAAATCCTTTCTGTTGCACCCCAGTCATTATACTTGTAGGAGCTCACGTGTGTCCCTCAGGAGACTGGAGCATGCTGACTGCATTACCCACTCCCTGTCACACCACAGGGGCCTTGACATCCTGATGGTCCACAAACCCTGGTGAGCTGCTGTTGTGTGGATGACATGGTGGCACTGGGGGGGACCCCAGGAAAGCTCAGGGGTCGCACACTGGTGCTGTCTTGGTGGGTGTCTCCTTCGGGGTAGAGGCACGGGAGCCTCTCCTTGGTCACCTGGTGGAGGGGAGGCTCGAGGACTGGGGTCTTGGAGAAAGCTCCACATGTGCTGGATGTGTCTCCGGGGTGGGTCACAGGCTGCTGCTTCTGAGTGGGCCCAGAGCAGCAGCAACTCCCTGCCGCTTGGGCTGTCGGCTCAGCAGACACTGTGGTGCCAGGCGTTTGGCAGATCGGGGTACATGTGGGGCTCCTGGCCGCCCCCAGCAGTGGGGTCCAGTGCTGCCCTAACTGTGCAAGAGAGGACAAGAGGCCCCGTGGAGTGGGGCGAACAAGGGTGGGGTGTAGTGTCAAGATTTTGTGGCCACCTCGGCAAGGTAGTCAGCCTGCAGCGTGGGCCCTCCCGTCTGCTCTGCTATGTGCCCAGTGGCGTCATGAAGGAAGTGGCCATGGTGGGACAGGAGCCATGCAGGGAGTGCTTTCCCTCTCAAAGGCAGCATTCCCATCACTTCTGGGTTTACAGCCTGCCAGGGCTTGAGACCAATTTCAAGGGCCCCATGTGGCTCTGTCCCCGGGGGTGGGCGGTGGAGATGGGCCAGCTGCTTGGTGGCAGGTTAATGACCCTCTTCTGTGCCAGAGGGGTGGGAGCTGACATGTGCCCTTGGGATAGACTCACCCATTGCCCTACCAGGTGCCGCCCCAAGCTGCCTTGGCCCCATGGGTCATGCTGACCCAGCAGAGGACACACGCTGGGTCATGGTTTTTCTGGCTGAGGATGTGGAGGCGGAAGTTCAAGGTCAAGGGTGGCCTCCATCCCGCAAGAGCCTTCTTGCTTCATGTAACCTGGCTGGAGGCACCAGATGGGTGGAGGAAAGGGGAAGTGGGCCAGACACCCCTTTTGTAGTGGCATTCCAGGGCCCGATTGCCTCATTTCACTCCCCACCTCCTCCCCACCCTGCATGGGAACCAGGTTTCCACTGTGGGAACACGGGGGTCACATTCAAACCAGGCACACCCGACTCAGTCACCCTACAGATGTACCACAGCCTCAGCCCTGTCCCCACAGCAGGCGACCTGGCTGAGTTCCAGGGGCCTGGGAGGGCTGTCCTGGGCCTGACCTCCAGGAGGCACTATTGACCTTCTCATGTCATTTATTTTAGTTTCTTATTTTTTAAATAGACACAAAATTTTACATATTTATGGGGTGTCATGTGCTGTTTTGATACACGTTTACATTGTATAATATTTAAATCTGGAGAAACATAGCTATCTCAAACACTGATCTCTTCTTTGAGGTGAAAACATTCAGAATCCCCTCTTGTTGCTTCTTTGAAATCAATGGTGCATTGCTGTATGCGAAGTCACAGCTCATTTCTTCTGTCTAACTGTATGTAACACAGCACCTGTTGACCCACTTTCCCCTGCTCTGCTCAGCCAGGGTAACCACTATTTTACTTTCAATTTTTATGAGATAACTTCTATAAGATAACAAGTGAGATCATGCAGTATTTGTCTTTCTGTCTGGCTGATTTTGCTTAGCATAACCACCTCCAGATCCATCCATGCTGTCCCAAAAAATTACATCCTTTCCTGTGGCTGGAACCTGCTCCCCTGTATGTGTGCAGCACCCTTTCTTCATCTGCCCATCAGCTGGTAGATGCTTAGTTTAATTCCGTTTTTTGGCCCTTGTGACTAGCGCAGCAGGAAAATGGGAGTGCACACGTCTCTTTGGAACACTGATTCCACTTCTTTTGGACATAGGGATTCTGTTCTACCTTTTTAGTTTTTCCGAGGGACCTCCATATTGTTTTTTACAGTGGCTGCACTCATTTCCATTCCTGCCAACAGTGTTAAGGGATTCCTTTTCCTCCACATCCTGGAGAGAGCAGTGTTTGTATGCAGCCAGAGGCCACACATGTGCTTCCTATCCCCGACCAGGTCCCCTGTCCTGGGGACCACAGGCTGGGGGTGAAAGTGACCCCTTTTACTGTTATACTCAGCAATCCATTCAGGGGATCTTGTTTTCCATCCTTAAAACTATAGGATCAGTGGGCTTGGAAATCCTTAGGGGCCAAGAAGAAGTGCTTCCACAAAGGAAGGTAGTTGCAGGTCTGTTTAATTAGAAGCCAAGATGGTCCTGGGCACTTGGGGTCCTTATGTTGAGCCTCCAGGAAGACAAGGGGTCAGTGTAGTGTCAGGGGATTTGTCACAATACCCAGGGGATAACAAGGCTGTTGCTACACCATGGGGACAAGCATGGTGCCTAGAGCCCAGGGGTTTCTTGGGGCCCTGGTACCCCAATGACCCATGTTCCCATTCTCTAAGTCCAGGGTAGGAGCAGAATGTAGATTCCTCTGGCTCCTTGAGATGCTGAGCTGTCTGTACATGCCACACAGTTTAGGTCATGCTGCCCCAGACACCTGTTACCCTCAAGAGTTCTAAAGTGCTTCCAGAGCGGCCTTCAAGACTGCTGCATGTTCTTTGGGAATGGGGAGACTGTGACCACTTGATACAGAGCACCATGAACTCAGACCCTCTGTGAGGGAAGATTGGGGTCATGCTGCCAGGTGAGATGCCCCACGGCTCAGTGGTCAGACATGGGCCAGCTTGGAGGCCAGTTTAATGTTCACTGTCTCCCTGCTCACCTCAGTGTGGCTGCACTGCGATTTGAGTTCTAGGGTGTGGAACAAACGTGACATCACCCTGGACTGTATGGTGGCTGATGGAACTTCTTGGTGCTCTCTCTTTGGGGCCATCTTTCTCCCCTGATCTGAGCACGATTCACAAATGGTGAGGGGTTGATTCACCATTAGCTTCTGCTGGTTTGGTTACGGAACAGCCCAGGTAGGGGTTGGCGGACAGGAGGAGGCCTCCCCAACTCCACTCCCAGTGGGTTGCAGTGGGGAAGGAGTTTTGATCTCCGCCTGTGACTCCCCCACCAGTGCTGCAGCATTAACTCTAACCCTAACCCTAACCCAAGTCCCAATTGGTTACAGCTTCACACTATGACTGTCCTCTGGCAGGTCACCTCCCCACACTGCCGCTTCCCTTAACCTTGGTTGACCTCTATGACATCCTTCCACTAAATGCTGTCCAACCCTGCTTTCCTGAGAGGACATGGAGCAAGGAGCGCCCTGCCAGGAGGGGTCTCAGGGGGTGACGGTCAGGGACACCAGGGTGCAGGGCAGAAGGCTGGTCGGGTGAGGTGGCCCCTCTGGACACAGGTGCCCTGTCTTTGTGCTACAACTGGACAGTGGCTGGCATGTGAATGTGCTCCAGGGACTCAGTGTGGCACCTCTCAGTGACAGGGCCAAGGGCATTGCAGATGGCTGTTATCACAGGCTAGGACGAGTCTTCAACAGTGAGACTGAGGGGTGCGGGTCACCCTTGTGGACATAGTGGGCTTTGCACTCCTCTCCACTGAGTGTCTGAAAGCAGGACCAACCCCTTTGGGATCGAGTTACTCTCTGGGGTTTGGGGACAGCTGAAGAAACTGCTCAAGCCACTTGGATCCCCAAGACTACCACATCCCTCCCTTAGCAGCAGACATCACAACAAAGGCATGAGATTTCACTTGTTTTTCTCTCTCTGCACGGTCAACCTTGGATAGGTGCATGTCTCCAGGTGTCTCTGAGGAGGAAGGGTGAGCTCTCCCCCATCCTGCATAAGCCCTCGGGCTCCAGCTGTCTTTAGGTGTGTAAGTGGGAAAATGGAAGCAACCCAAGGGTATAATAAAAGGGCTGTGCAGAGCTGTGTGCACATTAGGTACCACCTTTTGGGTCCCACAAGAGTGCTACCCTCTTTCCTCCAAAGTAAGTCCCAAACAGAAAATGCAAGTCAGCCTTGAAAACTAGAGTTCAGAAAAGCCAGCCCCAATCAGCTTATCCTAGCCTTCCCTGCCCTCACTATTTTCTTGCTCATTGGCTGCTCTGTAAGGCAGGGAAGGCCGGGATGGGCTCATTGGGGTTGGCATTTCTGATCTCATTTTCAAGGCTGATTATTTTCTGGCCAGGTCTTATTTTCAGGGAAACAGTAAGTATGAAGCCTGCAGCAGCAATGTGGAAACACGCATGTGCTGTAGCATTGGGAGAGTCTGATGTGAAGTTGTACAACTGATGGAATGTGTGAAAAATTCAGCTTGGACGTGAACCAGGAGTAGACGGGAATATGTGCACAAAATAAATTGTTTTGTTGTGGGGGAGGGTTGGGAGTGATTTTTATATTTTCTAGCCTTTCTGGACTGTTACTGTTCCCTCTTGCCACCAAAGAAAGTGACAAGAGATAAGATGGGAAATATTAGCGAATCTAGGTGTGAAAAAAATTAATTGGGTCCAAGGGAGCCCAATGTGAGTGTGCTTGAGATGGGGGGTAGGCAGGATTCTGGGTTCCGCAAGCTCCCCAGGGTTGCAGAGGGTGGTCCTCCAGCCACAGTCTGAGTGGCACAGCCCTGGGGCATCCTGCTGTCACTCCCAGGGCTTTAGAGAGCTCCAGGGAGCTCCACCAGACCTGTCCTGCTCCCAGACCCAGCGTGAGCTGACTAGGAGTCAGCTGTGATCTGGGTGTGGCCTGTGCCAGTGGCTTCTTTCGGAAGTGCCTGGCGTCTCTGAGGTAGGTTCCGAGGGCAGTTGACTTTGCTTAAGACTCTGCCCCCTCCCACGTATTGTGGCCACTGCCTCTGCTGCCACCTCTCTGTGTGTCCGACACAGTAGGGAGGGGACACCTGGTAACCTGGATGCTGCCTGCACAGCAGTGGCCTTGTCTGTTCTCAGAGGTCACCCAGCAGTGACAGTGCTTTGGAAATCCATTTCCCAGGTGGCCTGGGTGGGCTGGGTACCATGGCCAGGTGATGGGAGGGAAGGCTGAGGTTTCCCTCTGCTCCTGACGGAATGCAGGCCATGCCTTGGGAAGAGGCAGAGGGAGGGACTCTGCTGATCTGGCCTACACATCGCCTGTGAAAACAATGGCAACGACATAAGCCGGGGGACACCGTGTCCCTCGAGGTCAGGTGCCCGAGGGTTGCTGTATCTTCTGACCAAGGGTCCTGGATGGGATCCAGGCTTCACAGGGAGAGGGGACTCTGGGGACCCAGCTTCTCCTGAGGATGTGGAGCCCAGAAAGGACCCTTGCATTTGCCACTGTTCTCATTTCATTCACAGCAACTGTGTGAGGTAGATGTTCCTCCCCCAGTTCATAGAAAGCTGAGCTATCTGGAGGTCACACAAGAAGACAGAGGAATTGGGGCACGGGAGCAGGTTTCTGGGTGCTGGTCCAGAACTCCTGCTGCGGGGTCACAGGTGTGGGTGATGGATGGGGTGGGCAAGGGAGGAAGAGGAGGAGGAGGAGGACTTGTTTCTTGCCCCACATCTACATTTAGAGCACTCCCTCTCCTGGATTTTCAGTCATGTGAGGAAAATGCCAAAAAAACCCCAAAACCCACCCCAAACAAAAACACTAGCAAGGCTTTCCCTCCCCACCGTACAGTGAGGAGACAGAGGCACCAAGAACAAGGTGACTCATTCAAGGTCACACTCCTCCTCCGAGTGGCCAGGGCAGGATGGAGCCCAGGTCTCATCCAGACTGTGCACCTCCCAGGGTTTCAGGGTGAAGTGGTTTTGTGTGTGAGAAGTCAGTGAAAAGTGAAGTACAGTCAGGAAGCCCCCAGGGGCCCAATCCTAAAGAGTCTGCTGGTTTGCAGCGGTACGGCGTCACGTCACGAACACTATGTGATTACGCTAAAAAATACATGTATCAAAGGCTGGAAGAGATATATCAAATGGTGAGTTCTGGAGGTGGGGTTGTTGGTGCTCTTTTCCTCATTTTTATCTGCATTTCCCCAAGCTTCTAAAATACACGTTGCACTTATGATAGGAAAAATATATTCCCTCTATGTCTTGGTTTTAAAAAATACTGCTTTGAAGTAGCCTGTGTGCCTCTGTTAGTTTTTGGGGAGGTGCCCTGTGGCTCTCCCCCTCACTGTTCCACTCTGTCCCTGGGGGTGTGGTATGGCTTCAGGGGGTGTCTCTGCCAGGGACCTCCATGTGCTATGTTGCATGTTAAGGACAGAGTCCCTGGAATCCAGACCTCTTCTGGTAAGGGGTGCCTGTCCTGGGCTCAGTTCCCAAAGGCACACAGGAGCTGGGGAAGGGGACCACACACCAGTGTCACAGTGGTGCAGGCCTGGGCTTCGGCTCAGCCTGCTGAGTCTGGGATCAGTGCCCTGATTCCCAGGTGGCCACATCCCCAGCCCCGGGGAATTTCCTAAGTGTGGTGGCCAGCAGGGCTGAGGTGAACCCACACCATCCCTGGCCTCAGTGGGCCGTGAACTGGGGACCAGGTCCAGGAGACACCAGGGCCTTGGTCCCCACCACCTCGAGGCCTCAGTCGTCCAGGTGCTGCTCCTCCCAGGTGGATGTGGGGATGGCGCTGTAGGGGTCCATGATGACCTTGGCACAGCGGATGATCATCACCACCAGAAAGAGGCAGAGGAAGACGAAGCAAGCCAGCGTCAGGCCCTTATCCACATCGACGTAGGCGGGCTCGGGTGTGGGCTCCCCCATCGTGAGGCAGCAGCTGTAGGCTTCTCCTCAGGCTCCGGCTGGCCGAGTACCATCTTCCACTCCTGTGGGGAGCCGAGGCAGCAGGAGGGCGTCACAGCCACTGTCTGTTCCCTGGAGTGACAGCTTCTGCTCAGGCCACCACATGGGCGGGGTTTCCTCTTGGGACCCACATGCACAGCCCACAGCCTGGGTTTGCTGGGGGAGCAGGGACAGGAGGTGGCAGGAAGTGATGGGAATCCCAGCAATGTGGCCTGGGTCACCACCTTTAGGAGGAAGAACAAGGCCATGCTGTCTACTCAGCTGGGCTGTCCAGTCCCTCCCATATGTAGGCGAATGTGAATGCTGAGCCCAGTGTGTAAGTGGACTGAAAGCCACTGTCCTGAAGGGCTGGGGACTGAGCATCTACAGCCCCTTTCCCTCCGGAGCCTCACAGCTGCAGGGATGAGGGGAGGCTGGTGGGGACCATCAGAAGCACCAATCTGCTCATCTTTACTGGTGGCCCTACTGGCTGTCATTCATCCTGGGGGACTCAGTGACTTGGCTTCACAGGGGGAGGGGAGGGGGCTAGTGCCATTCATTCTGCCAGTCAAGATCCAGCATAGCCACTCAGGGACAGCAAGATTGGAGATCAGCTCCTTGCAGCCAGGCCAGGCTCTAGGGAGAGTCCCCACATGACCATCCCCATCTTCACTGAGTCTGTGCTATACCGTGCTGTCGTTTCCAGTTTATTGTGGAAACTCACGACAGCCAGGAAACAATTAGCCAGGGATCTACAAATGTGGAAACTGAGGCCCAGAGCAGGGACGTGACTTACCCAGATCCAAAACTCTAGGTCTCTAGTGGAAGGCAAAGTGGGGATCCCCTTCCCCAAGCTTTGTAAGAGCTTCTGCATAGACACTGGGCCAGCTGGGCCTGCAACACCTGCGACCATGGGCAACTGTGCTTCCCTTCTCTCAGATCTTGCTCTGTCCTCACTCGCTCCCAAGGACACTGACCTGCTGGCTGGAGCAGTCACCACTTCATAAGGACCTCGGGTCAGGCAGCTCTGGCAGGGAGAGAAGGTGGCCAGACATCACAGCCAGGAGCTGATGGACACAGTGTGGCCTTCCCACAGGGAGCAGCACAGCTGGCAGGGCTGAAGCAGAAGGACTTGTTATTTCCTGTGATGTTGGCTGTGCCTTGTGCTGGCCGGAAGGGCAGTGGAGCAGCTGCTCCCTTGGGCAGGTGGGAGTGGCAAGCTCTGTCACTGATGCTGGGTTTTCTTTCCTTCTCTTTTTAAAATACAAAGAGATGGTAGCAAAACACACACAACTGGGCCAGGGATTTAGCTCAGTGCTTCCGGTGCCTGCTGCAAAAGCACAAGGTCCCAAGTTCGATCCCCTGTACCAAAAAAAAAGGAAACAAAACACACACAACATAACATGTAGTCTCTTAACTTTTTAAGTATGCAGTTCTACTGGTATTAGGTATATCCTTATCATTGTGCAGCCACCATCTATCTCTGGGACTTTTCCATCAGCTCACACTGAAATAGTGTATGATTAATCAATGAATTTCCATTCTCCCCACCCCCAGCCTTGGCAACCACCATTCTGCTTCTCATCTATGTGAATTCGACTACCCTGGGTACCTGGTGTATTACAGTGTGTATCTAGATGTCCCCCTCAAAGCCTCATGCACTCCTAAGTGGGGCTTTTTGGAGCTAGCTGGATCTGGGGTTGTAATACTAGGATTAAGAGTGTGTGGTACTAAATTAGTCCACTGATTGGAATTAGCATAGTTCTGGGTGTGGATAATGGGAGCCCCACCCTGGATATTTGTGGCACCAATCAATAGGCTTATTGCCTGGATGGAATATAAAGAAAGAGAGAGAAGGCAGGGTGCTGCTGCTGCTGCTCATTGCTTGCTGCCTCCTGCCTGCTTTGTCATGGACTGTTTCTCCTCTGCCATATCACCCTGCCTTGGATCTAGTTGACAATGGACTGAAACCTCTACAGACTGTGAGCTGAAATAAACCTTTTCTGCTTTAAATTTGGGTGTCGGGTATTTTGTTTCAGCAATGAGAAAAGTACCTGAGACATGGTACCAGTGGAATCATTCAGCATCAGTCCTTTTGTGATGGCCTTATTTCACTTAACACAATGTCCTCAAGGGTCTTCCAAGTTGTGGCATGGTCAGAATTTCCTTCATTGTCAAGGCTGAATATTCCTTTGTGTAAATGGACAATGTTCTGTTTATCCGTTCATCTGTCATTGTGTAGCTGAGCTGTTCCCACCCCACTGGAGGTTAAAGTACCATCAACCCTGGGGTGCAAGTATCTCTTGGTCCCTGCTTTCAGGCCTTTTGAGTCTATACTCACAAGTGGGGTTGCTGGGTCAGTGTGGTAATTGTCATTAAGTTTTTGAGGATTAAATTTAAATTTGTTGCATAAAGAATACTTATGCACAGTTCAGAACTCAAAAGGTACCAAAAGAGAACACTGCAGTTTTTAAATTTGCCCTGTCTCCAGTGACCCAGTTCAACTCCAGAGAGGCAACCACTGGTCAGGCCCTTAGATGTCCTTCTTACCTGGGGTGGACTATGCTCAGGAAGGAAACTGTATGTGTTTATATGTTTTCATGTAAATGCAAGCCTGTTATGCAAACTGCTCCACATGTTACTTTATCCATTATTACATCTTGGAAATGATCTCAGATCGATACACAGAAGGCTGCCTCTTTCTCTATGATGGCTGCATGGATTCTGCTGTGTGGATATAACATAGTCCATTTAACCGTTCTTCTATTGAACCATTCTTCTGTAAAAAAAATGATTTCCAATCTTGTTCAGTGCTATACACATATTCTTGTACCTGCATCTTCTTTTTACACGTCTGTAGAATAAATTCATTTAGATGATGTCTAAGGATAATGCACTTTAATTCTGATTGTTTGTACCCAATCAATAGAAGTTGTACCCACCCAAGTAAGCTTCTTTCTACTGGCAGGAGTTGAGAGGGGCTGCTACCCTATAGCCTTGAAAACAGTTATTGGCCTTTTTTATTTTTGCCAATTTTGAGGAAAATGTTTTCTAGAGATTTTTTTTACCATTTTATATGAACATTTTCCTACATACAGAAAAGTTGAAAGAATTGTACACACAACAAACACATATTCATCACTGAGATTGACAATTGTTATATTTTGCTATCTTTCATTTATTCATATTTATCCACCTATCACCCTTATTTTTCCCACTATGGTACTGAGGATTGAGCCTAGAGCCTTCACATAGAACTACATTCCAGCCCTTTATTTATTTATTATTTATATTTTATTCTGAGATAAGGTCTCACCAAGTTCCTAAATTGCCCAGGCTGGGCTTGAATTTTTAATCCTCCTGCCTCAGCCTCCCAGAGTGCTGGGATTATAGGCATGCCCCATCACACCTGACTTATTTCCTTATGATACATTTCAAAGTCAGACATGTATTAGTACACTTCAAAGCGCTTCAGTATGTATTTCTGTAACTAGAATTTAATATTTGCTTATAGTTCCTTAAAATTTACATAACAGTGAAATGTACAAATATTCTGTATTGCTTTTGAGATTTGACAAATCCATATACCCGAGTAACTCGGGTTAGTTTTTAATTTTCATTTCTCATAACGAATGAGAATATATCTTTTGTATCTTTAGAATCCATTTGTATTTCCTTTTATGTGAACTCCCTGTTAATATCCTTTATCCATGTATTCTACTGGACTTTTTTGGTCTCTGTCTTTCTTGACCTTGGAAGCAGAGAATTTAGATAAATGTATTGATTTTATTTGTTTAATATTTATTTTATTTTACTCATATTTTTTCCTTTAGTCTAACTTGTAGTCCTCTTTTTCTCTTCTAGTACCTAATTTTGATCACTAGCATTTCTTTTTTTAAATTCACTTAAACTGATACATAAAAATATAAATTGCACACATTAACAAAGTACCGTGTAATGTTTTGATACATGTATACAATGTATAATAGTTAAATCAGGGTAAACATATCTATCTCCTCAAACATCATTTTTTTATTGTGAAGAATTTCAAAATCCTTTCTTCTTTCTTCTTGAAGCACACAGTACACCATGTCTGTGGCTGCCCTCCTGGGCAGCAGCCCACAGAGCTTCCTGCTCCTAACTGTACCTTGGCACCCACAGATGGACCTTTCCTGTCCCTCCTCAGTATTAGCTTTTGAATTGCTTGCCTTTGCTCTTTAAAATGTGCTTGCAGTTCTATAATTTGAACTGCCAACTTTGCATGTCTTTTTATTCCCAGCTATTCGGTGTTGAGTCCTCCTCCTTACCCACTCTACCCTGGCAGTTCTTTTGGGTCTGCATGGTCAGGGTATGTAATATCCAAGTCATGTTGCTACTCTGTGCCCACCTCAGTTTCTTCTCAGCTTTAGGGTTAAGTCTCTTCCAGGCCATCCTTGAAGAGGTCCTTGGGCTGAAGTATTTCCTATTATCTTTGTTTGGCTGCAGACTGCTATATAGCATGTCCTTTAGGAAGGGGTCACAGAATTAATTTTTCCCCAAGGTGAACAGGTGTGGATTTCTCTGTATTTTCTTAGTGTTTTGCTATCCCCTATCTCATGTGATATCTTACCAGCTTTAGAAAATCCTTGGCTCTTCTCCTTCAAATATCTATCTTTCTCTTATTATTGCTTTCTTCCCTTTCTGGTACCCAAGTACATTTTGACCTTTTCACTACATCATGTTTTGTTATGCATTCTTTCTGCATTTTTTCTTTTTATGCTGTAGCGCTAATATTTTCTGCTGAACTTTCAGTTCATTAATCTTCTCTTCTGTTGTGTCTGCCTGTTAAAACTGTCTACTAAATTTTCATTTCAGCCATACTTTTCAGTTTCAGAATTTCCAACTGATCCTTTAAAACAACGTCAATTCTACAGTGAAAATGATCGCTTTGTCTTTTTTTTCTTGAACGTATTTATCATAATGTTTTCAAAGTCCACATTTGATAATTCCAATATCAGGGTCATCTGTGGATCTGCCTCCATGATTTTTCTTTTGGTTCAATTTCTTGATACATCTGATGAAAATTCCACTGGGATACTAAACATTGATGCTCTAGATGATGGTCACTGCTTCCTCTAGGAGGAGGCTGGGGTGCTGGTACAGCATCTTAATCCCATGGGGGTGAGCCAGCTCAAGCTGGGGTTCACTTCTCTTGAGCAAGGCTGGTGTCTCCTCAGGTGTGAGAACAGCTCTAGGGTGTTGCTCTCTGGATTCCAACCTGAGAATCTGGGGCTTTCTTGGGCCTATTCCTTTTTGACATATCTTGAATTTTTCTACTCAGAAACAAGAGAAAGCATTGTGGGGCAACTCTTAAGATTATTCAGCCACTGGTGTTTGACTGTGCTATGGAGCACGGGAGCATGAAGCTTGGGAATTTCGGTCATTCACTGATGCCTGGTGTCTGCCAGTGCTGACAATGACAACATATATGTTTTGTCAATGCTATGCTATGCCCTTGCTCTGGATTTTAAAAAAATTTTTAATTTTCTTTTTTTTTTTTTGGTACCGGGGATCAAACTCGGGTCCTTGAACTTGTGCAGCAGGTGGCGAAACCACTGAGCTAAATCCCTGACTCCCCCAAAATTTTAAATTTCTAATTGACATTTAATAATTATTCATGGGGTATATTTTGATGCATGTATACAATTTGTAATGATAAAATCAAAGTATTTATCCCTTATCTCAAACATCCATCATTTCTTTGTGTTGGGAACATTCAAAATCATTTATTTGAGATATCTGGAAATATCCAATAGTTATTGTTAAGTATAGTCACCTTACTGCCCGATAGAGCACTAGAACTTTTTGCTGTTCTTTAACTTTTGTTCCCAATAACCAACTTTGCTCTGTCCCCTCCCCTGCACCCTTCCTAGCCTCTGGAAATGACTCTTCTTTCTACTTCTATCTATGTGAGTAACTTATCCTCTACATATGAGTGAAAATATGAGGTTATTGTCTTTCTGTGCCCGTTTTATTTCATTTAACATAACATTCTCCAGGCTCATCCATGCTATCACAAGGGACAGGATTTCAGTCCTTTTTATGGCTGAATAGTTTTCCATTTTGTATATACCATATTTTCTTTATTCATCTGTCTGTGGACACTCAAATGGATTTCTCTGGGGTTCTGAAGGATGTTCACTGCAGGATTGTTGTAACATTGAAAACCTAGTTGACAAGAAGATTGTCAGCAGTGGGATAGTCAAACAAACATGGTGTTTCTGTGCCAGGGAAACACACAAGGGGACAGGAAGTGCTTGCAATGAAAAAGCTGAGGAATGACACACAATGCGACCTGTCATTTATGTGAAGTGAAAAGGAGCTACATACACACTCCTGCGTGTGCACATGCATATTTCAGGCTACAGGCCTGTGCTCTTCTCTCTGCTACATCAAAACCTACTGCTGCTTGGATTGCTTTACTGCTTGAGAAGTTTAAGACCCAGAAAAATGCACCGGCATCCCCCTGGTGCAGTTCACCATTATTATGGAATAGACTGTGTGTGTTTTCTGCACATTTATTCAAAATTATTTTTTGGATTTCATTGAGGACTCCATAAACTGAGGCCCACACGTATAGGTGATGTGGTTTGGAGAGAAAAGACATAGTTAACACATTCTACTTAAAAGACAAATTATTTTCCTAGATAGTAAATAATAAGGAAAAATATTATACATTCTATCTCCACTTAATAAATGGAAGGAATGTGTTTTCAAGTTTGGTTAACAAGTGAGTGCCTCCTTGTTATTTAAGTCAAATCACAAAAAGCAACTGTATCTACAAAAAATTTTCA